AGAGTTGTACGGCCGCACCTCCCAATCCTGGCATGCAGGCGTGCGATGACGCACAAAGCGAAACGTGTCCCACAGAGCAATAGAGGAATGTATATATATATATGAACAAAAGAGACCAGTGATTTATAGTATTATAAACTGGAATATACACAAAGATATATGACCTTGCCTGCTTCGGGAAAGCCAACAGGATGCCGGAAAATAGACTCGCCTATTCCGAAATAATGGTCTGTTCATTCGTGTCAAACAAATAAAATTTCACTATCACGATAAAAAGAGATTGACGGTATGGCATGCATCCTCTTCTTATTGGTTGAGCAAGAACTTAAAAGGGAGAAGTTTTTGATGAGCCATAGTATTTTTCAAAGCTCATCACTTCATTCCATATTCCCCGCTCACATAAGATCTCCGTTTTGACAATATCAATTTGAACCAGATTTTCTACCATGTTGCTCCCATCTACAAGCAAACTTTCCATAAGTGGTGTTATGTCTGCTTCATTTCCAACGTTAACGTCTACTTAATGAGCTAAGAAGAACCGGTGTTCAGCTTCTTAAAAATTTGGATTTGACAATTTAATTTTCCTTAGGTTAGGCTCTGAACTGCATTCCAATGGAGTTATCAAGAGGTTAATGTTGGAAAATGACAGGGAGCGATTGCGTTCATCAACGCAATCTCCTAGGGTCTGATAAAATTATTAAAAGTTTCACAAATTCCAAATAACCCTGTTAATACATTGAAATTTAATCCATTGAGTTGATATTTAATGTAAATGACACCATTAGGCTGGCTACAACAACTCCTAATTGCTGTGTTTACTCACTCGACATTTTATGTCTATCACATAATTGATTAGATACCTGGTGTCATGACAATGCCCATTAAATATAGTGAACATGGGTGCGGTTTTAACATCTTTATTCCCTTTGTCCTCCAAAGCTTTCGACAATCTGAGGTTGAATCCTCCTAGATAATTCTTTTGAGCTCGAAAAAGGATGTGCGTACTTGCCACTCAAATTGATAAAATGAGTAGAAGCAACCTGATCGCGAGAAACGACTTTATCCTTTCCAAATATGCGTTGCTTAACGATATTTTGGTACTATCCACAGCTCAAAATTCATTGACATTTGACCTTTTAGAAAGTAAATGCATGGAAAGTTCAAATACCTCTTGTGAGTTGTATTCATGATGGTTAAATTAGTTCTACTTCAGCAACTCTAATATCCCCACTGTCTGCAGCCAGCTGGTGCTCAACCGTCTTCACGAGGTCGCAAATATCTCCTCAACTTTTTAAAAATAATATTCACAATTCTCTTGGCAATGGCTTTGTTCAATCATATATTTTATAAATAGTCAATTAAGCAGGTTTTGTTTTAAAACGGTTGTCTCAATCGATTGAATTGAGGTAAATCTTTACTGAACCCATCTGAGCTCTGAGGGAAAGCTGTCCAATTGATGATTTTAGAATGGAATTTTTAACTAATTTACAACATAGTTTGACATTAGAGCGTGATGCTTGGGGTGTTTGTTTTCTTTGCTATGTATTTCAAATGAACCTACTGTTTTGCACATAGTCAAGAGAGGGGGGGGGGGATTCCCTCATATTTTTTTAGGAAATATGAATTTGCATTATAATTGTTAAAGTTTGTACGTATCAACGTTTTGTGGTGGAACGATTGGTTTTATTTTTAGTGGTATATCACCTTGGAGTAAATTGGAATATCAGCTAGCTTCCAGATTCTTACTCCTCGCTATTTGTCAGACTATCTATCTCCCCCTCCACCCACCGATTTTCGCTACAACAATGGATTAAAGCAAGTTAATTGAATTGCAAAGGCAAACATTTTAATTTATAAAATTATAACAAATTGCTTATTGTAAACGTCAGATCCAAAAGCCACAAAAGAGTCACAATAATAAGGAGTATAACTTAATAGAACTCTCAGCACATTTACCGATTAAGCAAATAAAAGTTACTTCTATTAGTTAGAATACGCTACCTAATATTGTCACATTGGGGTGTGTGATAGACCCACCTCCACGTGGTGCACCCTGGGCAACGTATACTCATACGGCAAAATTGTCTATTAATCGGCAGTTGACATCCGACTTCAAAACACCATCACCTCACTGTATGTCACATTCGACTACGCACCTCACCTTTTTCACTCTACCTTTGTGTCTGTCTCTTTTACAACTTTGAAATACTCTTCTGTTCCCTCCTCCCCCTCTCGAATTTTCTTTCTTCTCTGTGAAGCCTGAAGTCAACTAAAGGGCAAATGATAACCATTCTGTGAAGCCTGAAGTCAACTAAAGGGCTTATGATAACTAATCAAAATGCCTGCCATTTGATATAAATAACAAATTAAATATTGTCACAGTACAATATATGGAAGAAAACGTCTTCATTGTAAAATTGTTGAAAGAATAAGTGCAATAGCCTTGAATAAGTTTTGAAAATTTGTAAACAAATAAATAAATAGCCTTATCAATCTAGAATTGAAACCGTTTTAATCCCTCATTTACCACACATGAAATATAGATTTTTTACGCTTATGTCTTTTAAAAGATTGCTTCTATAAATGCCGATGTAGGCAGAAAGAAAACACAATGTGACATTGAACGGTAAATACTTTAAAATTGCCTTCTTTGCACGACTTGTGAAAATCGTATTCAAACGCTCGTATTGAACTCTCCTCCCTCCCCCCGCCCCCGCCCCCCCATCTCCATTTATTTCTGGAAAATTCATCCCAATAAAGGATATTTATACTGCTCTATTAATCAGTGTAATTAATGTTACAACTAGACTCGTGTAACAATATGGGTTATTTCCGTTTACCCAAAGTAGAAACTACCCTAGGTAAGCGAAAAATAATCATTCACTGCATTGAAACTAAGTTTGAAGCTAAGGATGGTAAAATTGAAAATCTGACGGAAAATATTGACGAAGTAAGTACAGTTGTAGTTAAGATTTTAGTCTATCATTTTTCATAGTAAGCAGGCATAATTAAGGAAGAGGGACGATTTTAGTGCTATCATGGAGGATCAAAGATGCCTCCTACTCACAAGGGCATTTTAGAGGGTGCGGCGTGCTACCGATAATGCAGCGAGCAAGTTCGCATGTCCGTGATGACTTCACCAATTAACAGTCACAGCAACGTAGTTTGGCGCCTATTAGGGTCGGCGATACAGTTTTGTGCCATTCATTGCATGGCTTCTGCCTCCCCATTCACTTTTAATTTAGGTTAGCCACTTCGGAATCAATTTTAACTGGGAAAATTGTGTCAAAGAGAATGTTAAAGATTTGTTCAAGGCATATATATATGTGTAGTGACCACTACACATGTTAATTCATAAAGACACATGATTGATTGAATGTGTTTAGAGCTTTCTCAATTGTTGTCAATAAAATTCAAAGCATATAGGAAATCTGTACTCACTTAAATTATTTCATTAGTAAATATTTCTATTTTTATTCAATTAATTTTAAAGTCAGACATTGGCTCTTTTGACAATGATCGAGAAGCAGCTGACAAAGCACTTGTTTAAAGCAGTTGAAAAAGGCGATATTACTGCTACCGTAAATCTCATTAGAGCTGGAGTATGTTAATACTTTCCTTTTTAAATTTAATAACTGTCACTCATACAGAGTTCTAAATTTTTGTTATTACGTTAAAGGCCAACGTTAACAGGCGTGCAGATATTGACGATGCCACGCCGCTCATAACAGCAGCCGAGAAGGAGAATTTAGAAATGATGGAGATGCTTCTAAATTATGGAGCTAATGTTCACGCCAAGAATTCAGATTACGAGTGTGTTATTCGTATTTCTGCCTCCAAGGGCCACTTAGAAGGTGTCTTGCGAATGTAGGAAATATTAATCTTGGCACACCCCTCAGATTGGCTTCTTTAGAGGGACATTACAATATAATTGAATATTTACTTAACTATGGGGTCAGTATGCAATATCAAGTGAATGGTTATAAAGAATCAGAGTTAACACTAGCCTGCTGTTATGTTGTATTTAAAAATTTAAAAATTATTGTTTTTATAGAGATATTTCGATATCGTGAAACTCCTATTTGATGCGCCCGATCCCTCAAGAGACAGAACAGAGGAACTAAATCATGCAATTCTCTGGGCTACTATTAGCAAAGACCCGAGTGTAGTCAAAATTTTGTTGGAGCGCAACGCAGACCCAAACTTCAGTGATTCTGCGGAGTCACCGCCTATTTTCTCTGCTATTCACGACAAAAACCTGGAAATACTCAATCTTCTTATTGATTATAAGGCAAATGTAAATGCCAGAAGTGGCAATGATCACACGCCTCTAATGGCTGCGGTTATGGTTGAAAGTGAAACTATTGTCAAGCGTCTTATTGAAGCAGGTAATGATGTTGTTAACTCACTGCCCGATTTCATTTAAGGAGCTGACGCCCACGCACAGCACACCGAGAGCAATAAAACGGTCTTGTCATTAGCAGAAGGTGGGGGGGGGGGGGGGGGGGGGTTAAGTGAAGTAATCATTGAAATTATCCGGAATGCAATTAAATCACCTTTTCAGACAGAAAACTAGTTGCTATTTTCATATTTTATTTCATAACTTATTTTAATTAGTTTTATTTACCCTTATTGTACTTGTTTCAATCAGACTTGGGAAATTTATAAATTGCAATAAAAGTTGCCAATCAATAATCCCATAGTTGACGTTCTTATATCCTGTCGAGGTCAAAGTTTTAGCACAAAATACAACACAATATGAATCTGAGGCGACTTTGAGCCAATTTGAGTATGAAAGCAAGAAATAAATAGGTAGTCTAAATGGCCTAGACTTTGGGGTAAAGCGTTAAGAAGGGTAATAATACCTTTTCTCATTTCAACAAGACGCAAAGAATTGGAATGGGGAGCAAAATAACCAAACGGCAGTATAGATGGGACTCCGAATATCAGAATGTCAGCATCAACGTTGATATAATGTATAAGGCGACCTGAACTTTGAGTGACAGCTCAGCATATCTAAGCGAAATATAATGATATCGCGCATTTCCCGACCGAGTTAATTAGACAGCAGATAGAAGTACGAACCCCGTGGAACAAACCTCCCACAAAATCTCATAAAATAGATGACTGTTTTAAGCGCTTATAGTATGCTTGATAAAGTTCAAAATGTTAAAAGTAAAAAAGTTCTGAATCTAAACAAGCGATTGAAACAATAAACTTATCACAATCTGTTAAAGTTTAAAATGTTAGAATGTAAACAGATATTGAGTGGGAGAAAGATCACAGGTTTTAGTTTACTTGACACTTATTTTGTTCAAGCTTTTTCCAGGTACTTAAGTTGACCGTCCTCCAGAAGACGACTTCGAAGCAAGCAAAGTTGACGAGATATAAGAATTTCATCCTTGGACTTATTCTGCAATTCTAATTTAAGTCGAGCAACTTCTTCAGAAAGACTAGCGATCTCTGCCTTTGCCGAATCCAAATTCCATTCTTTGTCTGCAAAAAAGCAAACAGATTGTTGTCGGTTCTAAGTTATTCGACTTTGAGATTTATAAGTGGTAATCACTTGAGTTAATTAATTTTTCACGTCAGGATCTAAGGCATCTGAATTAATAAGAGAATGAAATACATGAAGTGATGAAGTTAGATTGTTAAGACCACAACCACATTATTCCTGCTGGAATGACAGTTTCCATTCTGCATCTCCAGTGGAGTATCCTTAGCAGCCTGAAAAACTTTATTTGCTCGTTTTTAGACTGTCCCATAAGCATCTGTTGACCCAAATAAATGTAATGACCACCACATAATCATTTTTGCATAGCCAAATATTTAGTTTAATTCTTAATCATAACCAGCTCTTAACTTTGAAGAAGTTTTGCTCTCTACTAGTTCTAGTGGATCAGGACGATATTTAGTTAAACTTTACCGATTTCCATAACTGTGCCTATTCATAGACGCAGATGTAGAATCAATATTCACAATTTTTTTTATTTTTATGAAAACAACATTTATTTATCCATATTCAGGACAATGGTTCTCGTTGAAAGAGTAATGCTAATTTAACTGCCGCAAGCTCCACTCCCAGAAAATGATAAATAGTTACTAATGAAGCAATTAATTGCATATTAATTGAGGAGTCGCAACATTAAATAAATAGATAGTTGAACTCGCTATAACCCACCAGTATTATAATTAATACATCTCTTTTTTGTTGAATCGAGGGTGCGCGATAGACTTACCTCCACGTTGTGCACCCTGGGCAAGGTATATTCAAACGGCAAAAAGTCGATTACTCGGCATTTGACTTCAATTTATTATGATAAGCTAGAAACGAAGCTTTAAGAGAAATCGTCCGCGTCAGTGCGAATCAAAACTTCTATAGATCCTTCAGTGGAATGCTGGAAGAATGTCACAGGACAAGAAGATCCAAATCCAGAAAATCCTACATACCTATGATATAGACATATTCACAATCATGGAAGCCAACCTTACGGATGACGAACTCAAATACTAACAATTCTCAGGTTACACCTTATACCTTCTACCAAATTACAGCAAGTTGCAAGTGGAATTCTGACTGGAGTAAAAGAAGGCCTCACCCAAGTGGAATTCTAACTGGAGTTAAAGAAGGCCTCACCTCCCACTAAAAGTGGAATTCTGACTGGAGTAAAAGAAGGCCTCACATCATATTACGGACTAATCAAGAGTATGGGCTCGACACAAGACATAAGCGAAATAATCAGATTAAATGTTTGGAAATGTCAAAAACACTTCAAGATATACGCAGTCTACAATCCTCCCCAGAATAGTCCCAACTTTGAATTTCTGAACATCTCACACAAAACTGTAGTACTAGGAGACTTCAACGCCCATTCCACCAGATGGGATTATAAGAATACAAACACAGCTGGAAAGAAAATCAGGGCTACAAGGATACAAACATAGCTGGAAAGGAAATTGAAACATGCTAAACCAATAAATGCTAAACAGCAATCCTCTGGAACTTATTTACAGCAATGGACAAGGATACAAACATAGCTGGAAAGGAAATTCAAGAATACAAACACAGCTGGAAAGAAAATCAAAGACATGCTAAACAGCAACCCTCTGGAACTTATTTATAGCAATGAGGATCCTGCTGCCTATCTGAACTACAATGAAACCAAAACAATTCTTGACTTGTTCCTGGCTTCAAGCGACATTAGCGAGCGTACGCACTACAAAATAATTGACGATCCTGGTCCTGGTCACAAACCAGTCATTGTTAGTATTACCATCGGCAACAAAAGGATGACAATGAAAGTGCATACAAAGCTATCATGATACTTTAAGAAGGCCGACTGGGCTAGATTCATAAAAATTTTAGAGAATTAACTTCACACAAGTCCCCTCAACTTCAGCCAACAGCCTGACAAACTTTGCAACGAAATCACGAATATTGTGATCAGATGTACAAAGAAAACTATTCCCCTTGGCAAGACCAAATACTATGGAGTGTTCTGGTCTGACCACCTTGAGGAGCTGAAAAAAAGCGGGATGTCCTTCGCAACACGGCTGAAGAGACTGGAAGAGCGGAAGACGTACAAACCTGCAGACCCAGTCAGCTGTCCTAAGGCAAGCCATCTTACAAGCTAAACTGACTACCTTTGACAACTTCAAAGTGATAGCCAACGCACTTTCAAACTCCTGGGTAACCTTTAAAACATCAAGAAAAGACCCTTGAAAGAACCAATACGCTTAAACAACAATCTGTTTACCACCGACTCCGAAATAGCTAACTTCTTTGTGAGGTTCTATTCCCACAAGCAAAAGAAAAGCCCTTTTGTC